ATGTATAACATCTTCAAATTGAGTACTATAAAGTAAGACACCTAAGATTTTAAAAATCTCAACTCTAATAGTAGGTCTTGTCCCCTAGCTATGATATAATATAAACATTTGTCTCCCTCGTGAAAATTACGTACTAGAAAATCAAAGATTGGATTGAAAATATTATCTTATCTACCCTGCCAGCCACAAACTTATTTAAGGTGAGATCCCACTTTGATTGCCTCTGAAATTAATTAATCTCTTGTCATGTAAATGTTTCATTGCTTTCAACAACTTTGGTGTTGGATTGAGTTGGCTATTAATTTCAACCAAAATTCCACTAATCACACACCCTAAATCAAGGCCTATTGTTTCTGACTTCTAATAATAATTAAAAAAAAAAAAAAAAACTATTCACAAGTGGTTAAATTAATAATTCATTCCCCATCCAAAGATTCAAAAGAGAATCTAATCTCCCTCATACTTTACTAATTAAAAAGTCCTTTTGATTTTAAATCATCTACAGATCTCCTTTTTACGTACTCTATAACTTCAAATGGCATTAGTAAAATGAAAACTAATAGCACTTTCTCCTTATTTTACAATAAATAATAATTGATGTACTATTTAATTTAAATATATTTTATAATATATTTATTATTAAATTATTATTATTAAATTTATGGTTGAAAAATTTTATTTCCGAAATTTAATAACAGAAAATAAGTATTAATAAATATATTAAATTAAAAAAGTATCAATCATTTTTCATCTCCAATATATTTGTTAAAGAATTTCTTTCAGCACTTTGAATTCAACCATTTTCTTTCTATCCCTCTCACGCCATATATAACCAAATAGGAACATCAAAGTTGGATTGATTTCAATTATTTCTCCTTTGCTGAGAAAATCTTTCCTCGCTTATAACATACTGCCAAAGTGCTCCCTATTTCATTTTATATATAAACAAAGAAAATAGGTGTTTTCTTTTTCCCTAAGAAATTAGGTTGATACCCACTATCCTGTTAATATAATGTCATTTCTCGTGGAATTGGCTCTTCTATTAACCATTGTGATGATGGTAAGAGGAGATAGATATAAATTTTTTTATCAACCAATTAAGAATAAAGATTAGTGTTTATCAATTAAATTTTAAAAAAATTAAAATAAAAATATCTTAAAATTACATTATTTTATTAAAACATTATAAAAAAAGACTAAAATAATATCATTCATACTTTTATAATAGGTTATTTTAGTCATTTTCTGTGGGAGTTTGTGAAAATTAGGTATATAGGTTTTTTAACAAAAAAAAATTTGCATTTAATCCAAAATTAATTGACAATAAATAGAATTACTTTCACTATATTTAACTTGCATACTTATTTATTATATTTTTTATATAAAATTTTTTCACTCAACATAAATGATGTACTTTTAAACCATTTTTTTTTTAATTTTTAAGAGATACAGTTAAAAATACAGTTCACAAATATTTTTCCTTAAAAACAAACAATATATTATAGGAGAGTATAAGGGTAAAAATAATTAAGTAATGAGTTTTCCTAACATATATTGCAATCCCTTTATATTATATTTAATTTGGAAAATAGAGTAAATAAAAAGTTTTTTTAATTAATCAAATTATAATATTTAAAAATATTATATTTCAATTAATTAAAAAAATTTCTTCTTATTTTTCTCAAACCAATTAAAGTATAATAAATAAATTTTATCATCATAATTTACTTTTAAAAAATTAATATTTACTTTATTAATTATTTAATTAAATTATTCTACCTAAAATTGG